GAAGATCTATGTCTGAAGTGCTATTGCAGCTTTTCACTGAACATATTAACTTTTTATTTGATTTAACTTTAGAAGAAAACTTCGTCGACTCCATCATCAAAAAAATTTTTACTTTTTTAACGTGTTTTATTATTTTAATAAACAATTTTACAATTTGTGTGCACAGTTCCTATGTAAATTTTTCCCTCATTCGAGTTATAAATTTTGCCACTAGACGGTGTATGCCCATTTGACGGATCCCAATACTGTGGTAATTGTCGCAATATAGTTAAGGGTACATTTCAGTAATCGATACCTGTTAAAATTCTAGTTTGACAGGGGATGGACAAAGGTTTTATAGTTTAATAACTTCGATCACTTGCTTAACAGTTTTTAATTTGTTATTTTATTTTTGATATTAAAAGTAGTTGCGCACCGAGGAAATGAATGTTGTTCTTGAAGACTTTGAAAAAACACCGTATCTACCTATCTTCAAAGGGGTTCCAATAAATATTTTTTTAATACTGTGCGTTATCAAGTGCTAATAATCCATTATGAATGTCGTTACCAGTTATCTGTATTGAGGCCGTTCGTTTTCAGCGCGGTTTTTGTAACTTCCGCCTGTTAGATCGCGCCCAGGCCCAGCCTGGCCCATTTCCGGCGCAGGACGATTAACAGGTTATATTACATGGTTGTTGTAGTTATTGTTGTTGACTTAAACGCATGAACTCTGTCAACCATAGCCATCAGTTCTTTTGCGTGCTTATATTGATACGAAATAGCTGAACAAAAAGCTGCTTTTGCTCTGTTCGAATTTTAAACCCGCATTTGCAAGTTTTCACCAAGCTAAAACGGTTACGAATACAATTTTTTGCTGCATTATTTTTAATAGAGACATAATAAAGACTTCCAAATAGACCGTGAATCCCCATACTGCGAACAGTTAAGATGGTGATTATATGTTTGGTTCTCTAGAAAAAATATATATGACGTAAAGTGCGGCTCAAAGAACGAGCATCTTTATAGTATGCTATTAACTTATGAAGTAGGCTTTTACTGCAAAGTTGTATTTTTTTTCTAATTTTTTATTTGATTTTACAAATCCAGACACGTCAAAATTCGTTGTGAAAATTCAATTAAAACCTAACGGTTAAATAAAAATAATAATCAAATTCAACTTATGATTTAAAAAACTTAAATTAGTAAAGATGACAACTAATAAATCGGTAAATACAGAGCCCGAGAAGGAGCTCCAGTTTGTGCGTTTATGTCCGAAGTACATCGCAGCTCAAAAAGAGAATGAAGACGGCGACGATCAAAAACGAAAATTGAACGAAGAATACGAGAAATGCGAAGAACTTATCCTAGACGTTGCACAAATTCAAGAAATGTGTAATCAACGAAATAACCCGATTACGAAAAGGCCAAAGAAACGGTTAAGAGTGATTTAAGTGGCGTATTGATCATTATACCAATAATATAGATACTGTTTCTTCTAATGTCTATATATGCAACTGTACACTAAGAGAATTTACTAAAGTACAAAATAAAATACTAAGACAACTTATCCATATTTTCAAACTGACAAAATGACTATTACACTACCTTAACTGAGTTTGTCACAAACGTCACTTTAAGTTTAAAATCAAAAATTCACCGTAGTTACAAACCATAATGGACAATGGCGTTCAATAAAGAAATCCCCAACCAAATTTATTCTTTACAAAAAACTAACAGTCCAATTTGCTGAGGTAAAGGCTTGGCGCCATTAAAATTATAAAAAAAATTCCACATGGAATGTACATCTCACAAGAATTTTTCTTACTCTTCTGAAACGAATTCAATGAAATCTTTCGAATCCTATGATGACGATAACCCTGGACCGTTTAGCAAAAACAGTAGTAAAGAAGGAGTGGTTCAAAGAGGAGTTCTTAAGAAAACTGACACCGCAGTAGAATTTGTTGTTACAAGTGATTCAAACAGCACGAATAGTACTAAAAACCATGGCATGGACGCCGAAGTACAGACCAACATAGTTGTCTATCCTCATCTCCTAGACGTGAAGGAATTGGCAAACGTTGTCGTAGAAATATCTGTTCAAACATCGATTACGTTTCCACCTAATGAATCTCTATCAAACGTTGTGTCGAACTTAAAGAACCCACTGGTACACAGGTCAAACTACGAGGAGGTTCCGGGTCCATCGACAACCGACGTGGACGAAACCAAAGACACGGATTCTAAATCGGACCAGTCAAGTTCAAAAAAAGGCGGCGAAAAGAGGACCAAACATTCTTCGTGTACTAAAGCTCAAGCATCAGTTAATAAGTAAATAATAAAAAAGACGTTTTGAACAAAACAATAGATTGTCGTATCGTTAATTGAAATTTAAAAAAATGTCAAAATTATTGTAAGAATATATCAGTAAATCATTTAAGGCACACAACCATTTATTAATAAATAGTAGGAGTCCTGTTCTTTCTGGGTAAGTTCTCTATTTGAAATGGTGTTTCAATTACATGACAGTTTCCCTAGGGAAACCTACGCATTTTCTGGATACTCTCTATAGATAACTGTCGATATCAAAGCAATAACCTGCTGGACAACATAGATCATAACGCGAATCGTAAAGGCCTGATAATGTCCTCGTAACGTTATCGATGATTGAATCTGATCAAATTGAAGCAGTCGACGTTGGGGTTCAAACTCTTCTTCATTGTTACGAAGACAATCACCAGAACATTTATGTTTCTTCCAACCGTGTTGTTCAGACGGTCATTTCTTCTATTCCTCTGAGAGACGACTACGACGATTCTATTTTTATTGGCTTATTAGGATTCATTCCTTATTCCGAGATATATGTGGAGTCTGAGAATATCATCGTACTACCCCGTAAAAGGAAATTGCAGTGGGCAGACCCTTTCACTATGGAATTGAGTTCTGATTCAGATAGTATCCAAAGTAATTTGAAGTATAAGAAAATGGAACCTGCGAGATGCAATCAAGAAACTCAAACTATAATTGCAGTTTATCCGCATGTTCTGGACGATGGTGATGTGGCCCATGTCATGCAAAATATTACATGTCAAACTTCTATAACCGCTTTACCAGACGAATCTATTACCAATATTGTACCGATTCTTAAACAACAATTACCGCACAATTCAATGTCACAAAAGACAACAACTATCCCGAAATATTCAGAAAACAATACTACAGAACCAGGTAATAGCGAACATCCAGTTACTGGAGGTTCAAATGATGCTCCTGCAGGCTCAGGCACTCCTGACAATTCAAATCTTCCCGAAGATTCAGTAGCTCCAGAGGATTCGAATCTTCCCGAAGATTCGGATGTTCCTGAAAATTTAAAGCAATCTGACGAAGAACAGTTACCACCAGCTTCTAAAGAATTAGAAGAAAACATTCCCGGGGAATTAAAAGAAATTTCTGAAGGACCCGAAAAGAATGATTCTTGTAAAATTAGCGATCCTTGTTCAAAAAGTCCTTGCATTGAAAAGGTGATCCACAGGGACGACTGTTTTGAAAATAAAGTAAGAGGAATCCTGCAAATGGCTGCGGAAGTTTTCGAAACTGAAATCTGTGAATTTTTCGAAGAACACCCGGGCGAAAAAAAAGTTGCACTTTGTAAAGAACTCTTTAATTTTGCGGGCATTTCTGGTTCCAAGGAGGCAGACCAATGGGATAAAGCAGTTAAAGACTTGGACAAAATAGCTGCTGAGGGTGTCAACGAAGAAAACGTTTTTTCATCTACACCCGATGTAAATCAGGAGGGCATTGTCAGGCCTGTCGAAATTTCGCCGACAAATAATAATTCGGGTAACTGTTTTTGCCAAAAACGAACGATAAAAGATGTAGCATCACCAGTGAAAAGATCCAGTAAAATACCACGTCTGATTCAGTGTTGCGGAAAAACTGCAAACTTTTGTGGTAATCAACAATCAAGTAAAATCCCGGTTTTAACTAAACGACGCTCAAAGGTTTCTCAACAAATACAACCCTGTGTTACTTCTTCTGGTCCAGGTGATTGCAAAGAGGTACGTTTTTCTTTCAATTTGCCTTCTCCCCAGCTGTTTACAACAATCGAATCGAAGCCCCAATACGAATTTAATCATCGATTACCGTCTGCTATGAAACGGAGCATTCAAGTGGGTGTAGGCCAGTGCTGTAGTACCAGGGATGGTATAGAGATTCAACAAGTTTCTTCTCCGGAACCCATACAAAACTTTGTTTACGAGTGCGACGCGGGGTACGTTGAATCGTATCTACAATCTTTGGGAAACGAAATAAAAGGTTGTCAGACTGAGAGAACAGAATTGGGCGAAGGGGATTGGGATTGGGAAGAGGACGAAGAGGAAGACCCTTGCTTATGCGATCCCTGGAAAAAAATCGCCGTACCACTTCCTGGTACTTACGTATTAAAAAAGACAAAGGTACCTACTTATAGCACTTTAGGCCAATAGTATTAGATTCTGTTTTACTACTTACTATTTTAACTGTTAAAAATTCGTAGAAATCATCTGAAGAAGAAAATGAACAGACTTCAACAAATGATATGGATTTTTTGTCAATTGAGTCGAAAAAGTTACCGACCCTTGAGCTAGTCAAACTCCCCGTTTACGATCCCAAATATTTTAAAATGACCGAATTATATATGGAACCACTGTACGATTTCTATCCCATGGAAACCGAACCCGAAGACGTTTGTGGTCCAGAAACAGAAATGCCTTGGGAAGACATAGTTCTTCCAGAAAAGTGCAGAATAAAAAAAGCCAACCCAACCGTTTGTACTTGTTCAAGTAGGAAACGTTTCAGCGTATTTTCTTCCGATAAAAATCGTAAGGAAACCGACACAAATGCCTCTTCGTTTGGACCTGATCCTTGTGGAACTGTAAATATTAATGCCACGGCTACAACTAGTGGGAAATCTTCTACAATTATCATTCATATCAAACCTCCCAACGAGGACGACAGCAACTCAAATGATTCTGAATCTATAGACAGCGTTTGTTTAAAAGAACTTCCTTTTTACGGAATATCGCAATCGACTGGCACCTGTGGTTGTCCTAAACGGCAACCCTCCACTGATGCAAAAGGGAAGCTTCCTTCCAAATCACCTCGAAGCGTTTTAGAAATAAAACCAAAAAAGAAGACGTTGGATATACCTTCAAATCCTCCTGAAGGACTACACAAAATTATCAAGAAAGTAGGTGTAAGGCCTGCAATGGAAGAAATCACTTGTGAAACACAAAATAAATCGACTGACACAGATAAATGTGATCAAGCTACCGAAACCATTTCGTCAATGTGTTCTAGAAATCATGCAACATCTAAGGCTCAATGTAAAAAATCAGATCTAGGCAAAAGTTGTAGTAAAACACCTAGACAAAACCCTGCATGCCGTTGTAGAAGAACCAGGAGCAATTCCGACTGTAACAATAAAAATACCAAAGATATATCGACTTGTACCTCCAAAACGATGATGAGGCAAAGGGCTGGCGCCAGCGGGGTTTCCAAATGTAGTGTTGGTTGTGGACCAGGGGTTTATGTTTCTGTAGCAGCTGCCGAGAGAGATAAACACAGCTCTCAATCGACGTCTAAAAAAGCTTGTCCTTCATCTGAAGAAACCAACACTGACAAATCTCTCCCAAAAATAAGAGCCATCCATTCTTTGAAACGCATTGGACAACCCAATGCACGAATTTGTAAAGATATTCCTTCGAATAACGAAGTATTTGAACTGTTCAGCAAAGGACAAACTAAAGTTCATTTTGGAGTTAAGGCAGTATCTAAAGACTCAGCCGGTAATAGACAATCTGATAAAGGTTTCTGCATATTCGAATCGAAACCAGAAGATGTGAACGAACTTGAGACAGAACCACCGTCATTAAATCGAGAACCATCTTCAACAAAAGATGATGCCTGTTCTCCTTCGAAACCCCAAAGAAAATATCCAGTGGTTGCAGCCCTTAACGCGTTTGAAGAAGAAATGAAACCCTTACGCGCTGCTCTTTGTCAATTGCAAAAAAGAATATACTCTTTAGATCTTCCTGAGATGCAGTCACGCCATTCCTAGACCAACGGTAGACACGGCGGTTCTTGCAAAAGGTGCGCTAAATCCATTGGATAATGGTCATTCGGGAAGGGCTATTAATAAAATTACTGTTGTAGGTCCCAGTACAGTATCAGGTTTGCAAAGTAGCACCACAAATGTGACTACTGCTACAGACGGATATTTATGTTCTCGGAACTCTGAAGTAGACACTCTAATGAATTCTTCTACGACTACAAGTTTTACTAATGATTCTGAAGCATCTGAAGATTGAATCATACAACATTCACTACCTCACAGTGATTTGGTTTCTGTTGTCTTTTATTAATAACCAACTTATACTACGCAAATGTAAAATTACGATAACAATAATAAAAATTCGTGCCAAAGCACCTTCGGAGTCTGAAATTTTCAGATTTTAGATTTGGCATTTTATAATGTCAGAATGTACCTACATACTCGTTTTTGATGTTTATATACGTACGTCTTTTGATTGTCATCTAAATAATGACAATTGTTCATAAAATTGTTTTCCTGGGTACTTGGGTCAATGAATTCCAAATTTTCAAACACCAATGGAGAAGGCTTTGTGTTGTGTGGCGTTTCTAAAAAATGCGAACGATTAAATTTACCGTCAGAACCTCCGGTAGGATTTTATTCAATAATTCGCAAAATTAAAAGACAGGGGGTGAGTGAAACTGTGCTACAACGATTATCTCAAACGGATAAAATATTAAGAAATGATGATAATGTATTCAAAGGTGATACGGAAGAATGTGAATTATTTCCAAATGAAGGGGAGAGCGTTAAAGATGGTACAACTCAAGTAGTGGACGAAGATGCGTCGGATACAAGCTCGTCTAAATCGTCAGGAGTTGTAAGTGTCATTTGTGTTCAAAAACAGGACCCTAACAATTTATCAACGACTTCGGTTCTTCTTGTAGAAGATGTAGCGATTAACACTTCGGATACTTTCTTGTGGGATAACGAAGACAAATACAGACAGATGTGTAGTAAATACACAAGTACGTCGCATATTCCCGACAAGGAGTCGTCAGAAATTTCCATTGAGTCAGAAAACGCGTCAGACGGGGTTGTATTTGAAGTGACCAAACTCGTGCAGACTGATTCAGTCGATGACGTACAATTTAAAGATGAAGTAACACAGACGGGAGATAGTTTTACTGAGTTTAACGATTTACATTCGCAAACAAACATATTTGAAAAATCCTACGAACAGCAGTCGACTTTCAATTTGATAGATTCAATCAGTAGTAAAGCTATTTTTAATAATACGTTGCCTATAGACTCAAATGTTATGATCAGTTCCTCTCGATTAGAATGTAACAAATCTATGAATATTGTAGCAAATCGTTCTGTTGAAGTTCAAGTGAAATTGGATAATGATCGTTTTCCAAACAATCCAGAAAATGTTATAGATGATAAAGATAGCAGGGAAATCTTCAGAAGGGTTGTGAGCTATTCAGTTGGGGTGCAAGTTAATTTGGAAGATAGGAAAACCCCTATCAGTAGATCTGATAAGGCCGTTGGGGTTCCCGAAGAAGTTGATAAAATTTTTGGTCATGAAATTGACGATTTTGACAACAGCATCTCTAGCTATCATAGTACGAGGTTTTTAACAAAACTCATAGAGGAGGATCACGATTTGGAAGGTGTTTCAGAAAAAACGGGAAAGAATGGAAAACAAGGATATTATTCAGATAAAATAAGAGCCGGAAATGCTCCTTCATGTTGTTCCAATCAAGGACTACACCGTAGTAGCAAAAAAGATTTTGAACCGTCGTTGTCAGAAAACCGGAGCAAGTTGATCAGTACTACTTTTCGAAATACTGAAACAACTTCGATTTTTTCACCGAGTCCTCGGAACAACAACTCGTTCTTCTCAAATTCTTCGTCAGATATGGATCAAATCTACAATAAAACAAAAACATTTCTTGGGGGAACGGGAAATAGAAAACCGTATTCAAATGTTGGATCTCCCCGGTGGCATTCCAATAAAAATGAATGCATTCAATTAGAAAAATCATATTCCATGCACAGTAAGAGTTCTTCTTCTCTTAGACATAAAAATCATGACTTTAGAGATGACAAATGGTACAATTTATCTATTGATTTGAAAGCAAAAGGCGAAGAGAAATCAAAAGAAGGTGCAACGGATATGATAAGTTATAAACATAGCGAAGAAAAGTTTCCCGTTCTAGCAGCTTTTAGAAATTTCTCAGAAGAAATGAAACCATTGAAGAAATCGCTACAAGAGCTGAGAAAGAAAATCTACGACCTTAATTTGGCGGAAATACCACCCCCTGATTTTTCTAATGCGTCAGATTTGGTTTTCTCGGAAGATCATAAGTCAGTTTCAAAAATTGTTGAATTGCGAAAGAGCAACAGTCCAATGAGATGCCAGTATTCATCACGTGCCGTTTTTATGGGTACCCCAGAAGTTTCGTCAATTTCTTCCATGGATTCAGATTTTTCAGATGATGAAAACGAATTGCCTCTATTAAATGTTTTGCGATCTGTACTTGAGAAAGAAGAAAGGAAAAGAAGTAGAAGACGAAGGAAAAAAGAAACTACAAGAACAAACTCACGTGTTACTAAAAATTAAATAAGTTTTTCTGAATATTGTTCGGGTCATTATACGTGTTAAATCTATTTCATGTTGATCATCCTTTTATGTTCAAATTTAAATCTGCCTCCAAGCAAGACTTCAGTAAATTCCTGTCAGATGCCACTACAGTGCTAAAAAATAATAAAATTGTCTGTGTTTTCAATGGTTCGTAGCTGCTGTATGATATGTCTATGACCATAACCATCATGTAACTGTCAGTGAGTGATAAGTTAGGCAAGAAAAAGTAGTTTTACGTTAAATTTTAATAGAAAATCGGCGCATTCTTAAGTTTTCTGCCATATTCTGGACTTATTTTATTGGTAAACGAATATTTAGCTATAAAGTGTTTGCTTTAATGTGTCGGTGAACTTGTTCCATTATTTTACAACCAATCGTCAGTGTCGTTTGTAAACCATACATATGTATGTAAGAATTAATTCCATAATTAGTTTAAATCAGCTGATCTTGTTTTTATCAAAGTGTAACGAATAGACTTATAGTTAATATAATGATGTATGAAAATACAAAACAAACTTCCTCAGACAATAAACCTGTGATGGTGACTGTATTTCTACGGAAGGCCTAGCAGTATAACTTGCAATTGGTGTATTGCAATGAGCAGGGGCTTCTGCAACAGTGGTACTACACCTTTCCTTTGCTCGGTGAGTTTCTGAAACCTCTGATTTATTTTTTCTTAAAATTACTTTAAAAGGCTGAACTTTAATTCTAAAATAGTAATGTCGACAAGGTTTTAGAACTGTAACGTTGCCTTTTGAGCTTTTGTTAACATTAATTTAAACATTTTCAGTCTTTAATGAATATGCAACTATGAAAATTCAATGTTATTTATTTTATTTTGAGATGTGTAGGAAGGAAATGCAGAATCTTTTTATTGTTTTGAAAGGGGCTTTTTATTCATAGATGTCTCCCCTAGTACCATAACGCTCCATAACTTTACAACTAATCTAATTGCTGCAAATTGCTTTGATGCTGAAAAGGCCCTAAGAATTAGAATACCAAATGTAATTTAATTTTTTTTACGAAAACAATTTAAAATAAAAAAATTAATCTAAATTGCTAAAAAGTAAAACAAGATGCAAAAAAAACAATATCTAATATTTTTTTGTTGCTATTTTTTAAATATGTTGTTTGAAATGGTATGTTGTGCTTTATTTTTAAAATTTTCGTTTTCATTATAAAACGGATGTTTTGTTTCGAGGAAGTAAAGCACATTTGATGATAGTAATATCCTTTTCGTGCTTGGAAGTAATGTAATTGATAGTCTATTTTGATTGAAAAACATGTTTTAATTTAAAAGTTTTTGTTTTTGACTTGGGAAGCATGAAAATTGATTTTAAAGATCGTTTTCAGACAAAAACTGAATATTAAATTTAAATGAACTGTTTCTGATTTTAATTGAAGTAGATACTTGGCAACTGCAGCAATTCTCTTTCATGAGATTCACTTATTATTAATATAATGCTGTGTAATAAAAAATTATTTCAGAATCGTTTTTTTTTATGATTACTCAAATGTTCCAAGTTCGATTTCCGGCAGCAGCAACAATTTTTTTCTCCTTTATTTGACGTAATTTGCCGTGCATAAAAATTAAATGAACTTTTGCATTAATAATTTCGTGATATTGAATAAACAAATAATTATACTACATCATTTTCGTTTACAAATTGGAATTGAAGTAATATTTATTGCATTTTGAAAGTAATCAATTTAATGTGAGATAGATTGACTGACATAATCATAACTTGTTTTCGATAGTGAAAGCGTGCACAACACTAATGCTATTATTTTAATGTTAGTTGTCGAAATTCTTTGACGTATCTACCTCTTCTTCTGAAAAAAAAATATATAACTGATTTCTATTCGCTGCCTTTACATTTTTAATTGCTTTCTTTTCTTCTAATTGGCGTTTCGTATTCGAGTTAGATTCGTGTTAATTTTTGCCGACATTATAATCTAATCCATACCATGTTTCTCAATTAACTCATCTAATTAGACTCAGTCTAATTATTCGTACTCTTGCGGTTAACAGCTTGTTTGGCTCAGACTCGCCATCAGACTCCTCATTTTATTTATCGTCAGTACTTTTGACTTTATCTTTAAAACATCATCTCTTTTAATTGCCCGATCAACTCGATCGATTCTTGTTGTGTTCAATACTTAACACGTCCGTTTCTGTGTTGGTTCATGATTTTGTTCGAAAATAAGTTGTAATTCTGTTAAAATTGTGATCTGTTAGTATTTTGAGTTCTCTTGGAAAGTTAATATGATTTTGAGAAGCTTAAAGCCTGACCTAAAGACTAAACCCAATTTTTATTTAAAACATGTAAGATTTATAGCAGTATTAGCATCTAGCAAGGAGGACTTAGAGATACCTTTAAATAAAATGGAAGCGGTCCTGACAGATCAGTACTGTATGGAAATAAATAAAATTAAAACTAAAATACTGGTATGCAAGAGAAGTAGGGAAAGAGCGAATATAAAGATAGGAGACGAAAAATTAGAAGAAGTGACTGATTTTAGATATCTAGGAAGTCAGATAAGTCAGGAAGGAGTAATAGGGATATAAAGCAGAGGATAGCGAAGGATCGTGTCGCCTTTAATAAAAAGAAGTCACTTCTATGCTCGCGAACGATTAATTTAGAAATTCGAAAAAGGTTGTTAAAGGTGTATGTTTGGAGCACGGCGTTGTACGGGTG